CCATTCTTTTCAAGTACACATGGAACATTCTCTGGGATAGAGCATATGTTAGACTACAAAAAAAATGTCAGTAAATCTGAAAGTTGAAATCATACACAATACGTTGTCTAATCACAATGGTATGAAATGAGAAATCAGTAACAAAAGGGAATTCACAAATATGTGGAAATTAAACAATATACTCCTAAATAGCCAATGGGTCAATGAAGAAAACACAAGGGAAATTAGAAAACACTTTGAGACAAGCTCATCCTAAAATTCATATGGAAATGCAAGGGACCCCAAGTGGCCAAAACAATCTTGGAAAAAGAACAAAATTGAAAGATTTCAATTTCTTGATTTCAAAAATTACTGCAAAGGTACAATAATCAAAACAATGTGGTACTGACATAAGGACAGACATACAAATCAATATAGAGTCCAGATATAAACCTATACACCTATGTCAGTTGATTTTCAAAAAGGGTGCTAAGACCTCTCCATGGGGAGAGAATGGTCTTTTCAACAAATGGTACTGGACCAACTGGATAGTCACATGTAAATGAATGAAGTTGGACTCCTTCCTCATATCATGTACAAAAATTAACTCAAAATGGATCAAAGACCTAAATGTAAGAGCTCAAACTATAAAACTCTTAGAAGGAAATATAAGTATAAATTTGTAACCTTGGATTAGGCAATAGTGTTTTGTTTTGTTTTGCTTTTTTAGTATCATCCAGGGTGCTTGGTTGAGACTAGGGCTAGAGAATCCAAGATGGCCTCACTCATGTCTGGAGCTGGAATGGCTTAATCAGCTAGCGGTTGGCTGAGAGAGCTGGGCCTCTCTCTTCTCTTGGTGTCGACCAGGCCCACTCATATATCTGGTCTCCGTGTGGCCCCTCTCTCTTCCTGTGGGTAGGCTGAACTTCTTTACATGTGGCTGGGTTCCCCTCTGAGCAAAAGTAGAAGCAAAAGGCCTAAGCTCAGAAGTCCCAGACCATCATTTCTGTCTCTATTGGTCACAAAGCCAACCGGGATTCAAGTGGTGGGGAAAAAGCCCCCTCCTCTTGATGGGAGTTGCGGTGTTTGCATACAGGGATGGGAGAAATGGTTGGCAGCCATCGTTGCAATTTCTCACAAATGGTAACCCCAACTTTGGGACAGTATAGCTGTGAAAGTAAAATGGTAAAAGTCCTGCCTCTCCACTAGGCCTCCACTGATACCACCCCAGTGGGGAGGGGAAGGAGTGCTTCATTATTGCCAGATAGGAATAGAAGTACAGTCTCTACTGACGCTGTGAGGTGGGAGGAAGTGCCTCACCACTGGACACTGTCTCCCTACTTGGCCTTCTCTGATAGTCCCAGCAGGAGAGTTAAGGTGCCTTGTTACAGCCTCGAAAGGGTAGAAATCTTGGCTCCCTCTTGGCTTATGCTGGCATGGGTGAGGTGGGGTCATTTTATTTTCCTATGGTATTTGGAGTACAGCAATTATTATCTAGAAGTTTCCCATCTTGCTTATCTGCTCATCTCCTGCTCCTTTGACTAAAGAGAGTGGGCTTTTCTGGGGACTTTTTTTTGTCTGCGTCCATTGATATTTCCAGGTTGTCAGTTTCTTCAGCTCCGAGTGGGAGCTATATGAGGCAAAAAGAAAGCCCAGAGAACTCACCACCATGTCCTTCCTCAGGTCCCCAGGTCCCTAGTCTGTCTGGCTTCTTCTCTCTACCTTTCAGAGTCTTCTTATGTTTGCTTTCTAAATCACGTCCGGGCTTTTTAGTTGTACACAGCAGGAAGCATAGGAAAAAGTACGTCTACTCCATCTTGCTGGAAGCGGAAGTCCTGTAATTTACTTTTTAAATGGAAAGTTATAAGAGAATTTTATTGTACATAAACAGCATTGAAATATTTAAGAGAACTTGATTCCTTATATTCATAGGTGTAATTTATTAGACTTATAAGAATTACTTAGTTCCTTGATAAAGGTTTTGTTTCTAAAAAGCTAGATTCATGAGTTTGTTACTTTTATAGCAAATATAATTTTTAAACAAAAAACAAAATAATGCAGATAGCCATTTTTGTCTACAAAAGCCACCCCTCTAAGAAAAGAAAAGAAAAAATGACAACTTATGTTTACTAGGAGTTCCCAAACTGTGTTCCATGAAGCACTGACTCCATTAGGCTTTTTGGTTGCAAGTAATAGAAACTATCTCTTAAGCGAAAAAGACTGTGGGGCTGCTCCCAGAATCAAAAGAAGAGCTAGAGAAGCAGGCTTCAGGAAGGACAGGAACCAGGAAGAGTGCAGTGGTCTGGCTTGTCCAGGCCTGGCCTTGCGCAGGAGTGAGCCCGGCCTTTTTTCAGCCTTTGTGTTTCTCAGTCCAAGATCTGGATCCTAGAGAGAGAGTTTCTGACCTGCCTGGTTTGGACCAAGCTTGGGTCATGGGCCCATCCTTGTCCAGGGGAGGATGGAGCACTGTGAATGACAGTCCCAACAAGACTGTCCAATCGGGAGTCCTCCACAGCACAATCAGGGTGCTATTACCAGAAGAAAAGGAAAGTGATTAAAATGTCAGGCAGGTAAGAAGCACAGACCCCTTTAGCTCTGAGATCCTGTGATCCTACAGGGAAGATATGGTGTCTCTTTAATTCTATTTAACTGAGAAGAGACAAAAATACATGAAACCACAGAGATGGAGAAGGACTGAGGGAGTGCAGCTCAGGCTGTGAGAGCCATCTTGGGAGGAAGTAGAAGCGGCTCCCTTGGGTCCCATGAGATGCCCCCAACGACCTCCCGTTAATGAGCTATTTTATCAAATGAAGTCAGTCAAAGCCAGTTTCCCATCTGGCCTGATCATTCACTTGGTTTCTGTTGGCAGTCTGGCCTGATCAGAGGCTTAGGTCAGGGCTGGAGAGGCCCGTAGAGGTTATCCGCGCCAGCACTTACATTTTCCAGACAGGGACTCACAATCCTGATGAGGGGAAGGGGCTTGTCTAAGATAGTGCAGGGATGAGGCCGCAGAGCTGGAACTGGAACCCAGGTCTCCTGGCTCCCAGCTCAGCGTGTTTCCTCTGTGCTGCAACGCTGCCTCTTACTGGGGGAGATGTCATGGACAGCCGTGGCGGTTTCCATCAGTAGGCCTCTCGCTCCCTCCTCCTGCCCTATCCCGCAGCCAGCTGCCCCTTCTCAGGAAGCGCCCTCAGCTGTCGAGGCCCTCAGCACTCCAGGAGAGAGAAGGGAGGGGGATGGAGGGTTGACTTCTTCTGTTATTCGTCGCTAATTATCTGTCCTTCCAGACGGACTGAAGGGCTGTGTTTTTATTGTTCACTGCTGATGCACTAGGGCCTGGCCCAGGCCCTGAAGAATGGGCAGGTTTCACAGGGAGGGCAGCTGGATGGGAGAAACCTCTTGAGCAAAGGGGGCATTGGGGGAAGCCTATCCTGGGAAGGGAGGATTCATATTTGACTAAAATAGAACATTTGTTTGGTGTTTAGTGGTGGAATAATGCTGCAGGGTGTTTTGGGGACATAATATGTGTGGTTTAAATGCTGAGCCAAGTACACTTTGACCCAGCAGTCCCACTTCTAACAGTTTATCCCAAGGGAATAATCTTCATAAATGCACAAAAATGTGTATACTGGGATGTTCAATCACAGTGTTGTTTAAAAAAAGAGACACAGTCTAAGTATCCAATAATAGAGAAGCAATGATAAAATATGGCACATCCAAAGGATGTTTGACATTTATTTGACATTTATTAAAAATGATGAATTAAATATGCCTGACAGGAGAATGTTTATAATATCTTAAGTAAAAGAACAGGTTCTAAAACAGATTTTAATCTTATTTTTATAAATTAAATTAACATTTCCATTCATATCTAAATTTATGGATAGAAAAAAAGTTTACAAGAACAAGAACCAAAATGTTTGCAGTAATTATCTCTGGGTTTTAGAATTACAGGTGGCTTTTCTATTTTGTTAGAAAACATTTCTTTGTTAGAAAAAAAGGTTCTTTTCATTTATATTTCATAGTTATTCTACAATGAATATGTGTGGTAATTGTTTTTTAAAGTTAAAAATGCCATGCCAAGGAATCTGAACCTTATTCTTAAGGTGATGGAAATTAAATTTTTGTAAATCAAATACTTGAAAATGCCCTAAGCAATTTAGCCAGTTAAAAGAATCTCCTTGAGACCCCTCTGGGAACACGAAGGCTCCATTGATAAAATGGCAAATTATATCCCTTCCTGTGTTTCTCCCATAAATTCTGATTTCTGAATGTTTTTTTCTTGAGCCAGACCCTGACAAGTCAATACATTAAGGGGACTAGTAGAGCAGATTTAGGCCTTTCACCATCAGACAAAGGATGGTGCCTTCTGGAAGTGTCCAGTTCAGGGCTGTGTTGTGAAACCATCAAGGCAGCCAAATCACCCTTGGGTAGTAAAATTCCAGCACAGGGTCTTTTTTTTCATTTTGTGAGGAAGATCAGCCCTGAGCTAACATCTGCCAATCCTCCTCTTTTTTGCTGAGGAAGACTGGCCCTGGGCTAACATCCATGCCCATCTTC